TTGTTACTTGTATTGTTTCTTTCTACGTTTAATTTTAGTATGTTTAAGTTAAACGTTAATTAAGGTAGTCATTCGTACGTTAGTACTGGGGGGGGGGGGGGGTAAGAATCTGATCAGGAGAAGTTTATTGAAATAAGCTGTATAAGATTTAGGTGCAATTATTTGTCTCACAAACTGTCTAATTCTTTTCTTGAACAGAATGAATGTTTCCTACATTTAGAGGCACCTATCCAGAGAGTGACAGGCTACGATACCCCATTTCCTCATATCTTTGAACCTTTTTATATCCCAGATAAATGGAGATGCCTTGAAGCTGTAAAGAAGCTTATCAACTACTGAATTGTTTTTTTTTTTATTAGAAAACTTTGATAGACCATGTAAAGTTAATTAGTTGGGTTATAAGGGGTGGTTTTGTAACATGCTGGTGAACATTTTTGTTCTTCCTTTTCCAATTAGTGACAAGAATAATAAATGCTGACCAGAGAGTAAGCTGGGAGTTTAAAACAACAACAAAAATTTTTCCTTGTTTAATGGTCCATGAATATATCAGTTTTCCAGATGACCCTAGTAAACAATCGCCTAGTAACTTACCTGATAAACATTTATAAAAAGCTTGGTTCGTCGAGTGATTTTTAAAGGTTTTTAAAACAATTTCTGTCTAAGACACAATTTTTTAATATGGTTTATCTACACCATTGGATATGGTAGATATCCTATGCTTGACATCTTATTACATATTCTTCTTTGCTTCCTCTCATACGCTCTTAGAATTTATATGGAAAAAATAGACTGAGCTTTTTTACTATCCTGTTATTGTAGTAGCAACAATTACAAGAACAAAAAAAAATGTTGTTTACATTTAATAAATAAACTTAAGTATTTTTCCAAAGTTATATAAGTTAGATATGTAAAGACACATCTATTGCTTTGTCATTACCTGTAAAGTAATTATTGATTTCTCAGAGTTATGTAAAGTTATTGTACAAAACGTTTGAAATAAAAGATAAATAGTATGTAAAGATTTATTTGTTGAAATACTTTGCTGGTAATGTTGTTCCAAGGAGTTCAATTAGTGTCTGAACATTTGCCCAATATACTTTTTCTAGTTTTTAAATCATATATATTAAATGTTTTCTTTACTTTAGTTGCAATAGAGTCTTCAGTTATACAGTTATTAATTTTCTAAATGTATAGAAAATGGTTTGAGGATTGTGTTATAGTCAGTAAGAAATATAAAAAGAAATAAAGACATGTTTTATCTTATCCTTGTTATGTTTTAAATAGTTAAAACTCAATAAAGACTTGGTAAAAGCTGGAAGTTTAATGTGTATATGGAGGATACAAGATCAAGAACTTGGATTAAATCTTATCAAGGATGGAGTTAAACTGAATTGCTAGAGATTAAACCATAACATGAAGCTCTTGGGAGTTAACCTTTAGCTTGGAATTCTTGAGGTTGACCTCAACATAAAGGACTTGTTTAAAATGAGTATATAGAGCTTATGGTTGAAAGTAAGCATGGAAATTTAACTTTAACATGTAGTGTTTGTGGTTAAAACTTAGCATGGGGAGTTAGGAGTTCAATATGCAGGTTTTGTGGTTGAAACTTAGCATGGGAATTTAGAAGCTAAAGTTCAACATGCAAGGTTCGTAGTTAAAACTTAGCAAGGGCAATTTGGGGGTTCTTGGAGTGTTTTCTGATTAAAGATTTATGAGTTGGGTAGTTTCAAACCTAGCACAAACTTGAATCAAATATTTGATTTAAAACTTTCTATTTTCTTTGAGATTGAAAGAATGGTGAGAAAAATCAAGAAGTAAAAGACTTGGCAATATAATGACCTGATTGTACTAAAATATAAGTTAGCACAACTACTGGATATAGTTGCTAATCAGAAGTTAGTGTTAATTCTTGAACCAAATATTTGACGTAAATCCAGAAATGTGGGATTTATAAATTTAGCTGAAGCACTTGATTTACATAAGAATTTGAAAATATATTATAATTTCGATATTAGTTTTTTTAGGGCACTGAGGTTCATGGAAATAAGAAAATAAAGCACATTTCTATTTATGTCTGTAGGTCATGAAATTCTTTTTTTTTTTTCAACTTTTGCGAATTTTTCATAACTTACATCATGGGAATTACACTCGTAGTTTGACATATCGGTCTTTGAAAGCTAGTTAATTAAAGTACGTTCGGGACCAAAGTTATATGACCTGGTATTCGGGAATTAATACAAATTTTGCATGAATTATTTTATACTCAAATGTAAATGATTCTTTTATTTACGATGATGAATTCACACATTTCCATCACTAGGTGGCGCCGCCATTCTTAAAAACTGACAATTGTGCCGTGTTTTTTTTAAATAACAATGTCCAAGTTGGCCAGGGATTTGTTGCATTATTTAGTTCTTTTTACTACCACTCGATTTTTATATGTTAGTTAATAATCTAATTAAAGAGAATCTAAACATCTGATAAGTAATATATATAAAAGATCCTGAACAAAACTTCTCAATAATGGCGTAAAGGATAGTTTTCAGTATTTAAGTACATACCAAAATATGTCAAATCAGTATAACATTTTCTTATGCCAAGTTTCGATAATAAATCGAAATTGACGTGTTTTAAAACTCTCGACCCGAAACCGATGTAGTGGTTAGCAGACTCGGGCTATGACTCTTAAGGTTTTACGGTTCCTGTCCCCTTGCCACATTTTGGAGCTGTGAGTGAGTTCAAAGAGCGACAATCAAATACAAACAGAATATGGCAGTGGGTGATGTTGATTAGCTACATTCTCTTTATTCTATCAGCTAAAAATTAGGGACGAATTATGCGTAGATGACCCTCGAGTAGCTTTGTGCAAATGTTCTGAAACAAAAGCTATATCAGCATAAGTAGGCATCGAACCCATTACACGGAATGTGCATTTCCATACAGTTGATTGTAGCAAAAATAATAACAGCAAATATGTTAAAAAAATAAATAAACTGGTCGCTACTCTACTTTCTTTTCATAAAGTTCGATATTATTAAAACGTGAAACCCAGAGATTTCGCTTCCCAAGACCACTCCTTTTGGTATATTTTTAAATTTTATACTATCAATACGGCCCCTGGCATATATGAACTAGCCAAACTTGTTTATGGTGTAAACAATTTTGAATGATTTTTTTAAATTATTTAACTTTGCGAATTATTGCTTAGCCAGTTGCTGAAACCCGATCGTGTATGTTTTGAATAAAAATTAGGAATGTATAAGTAAAGCACTGAGTAAATTCTGTTTAAAATCTGGCGAAACGCTCAACTCGCGACTGCGGGTTGTGGGCTTGAATTTTGTCACTAAATATGCTCGCCCCGTGGGGCCGTTAAAATGTAAAATCAATCCCACTATTCGTTGGTAAAGTGTAGCCTAAGATTTATCGGTAGGTGGTGTTGACTAGCTGCGTTCCATCTAGTCTATCACTTCTATATTAGAGAAGGTTAGTGTAAATAGTCTTCGAGGAGATTTGTGCCTAATTCAACAAATAAACTGGTGAAATATTGTTTAGCCAATTGCCGATCGTGTATATTTTGTATAAAAATGAGGAATGTATGAACAAAGTATTGTATAAATTCGATTTCAAAGTTGATAAATGTAGCACTGAATAAAGCAGACAGTTGTATTTTGTTCTTTGCTTCTGACTTAATAGTAAACAATACCCTTTGTTTCCGGAGTTTCAACACATCTTGTTTTTGGTAAACATATAATATAATACCAGAAGTTATTGATACCATAACTAAAGATTTTCACATAATTCGTATTTGAGACACATAAACCTTTTCCTCATCACTTTATTGTTTAATATTTTTATGCCCCCTAGTGGCACAGCGGTATGTCTGCGGACTTACAACGCTAGAATCTGGGTTTCGATATCCGTTGTGGGCAGAACACAGATAGCCCATTGTGTTTAATTACAAATAAAAAATAATGAAATTAATATTTTTATAACGTATTTTATGTTACGTTTAGCTCTTGATTTTCACCATCAGTTTTTATCGAGTTTGGATGCCAAATCTAAGAGTTTTACTCTTATAATTTACACGTATATGCGTTAAAACAAAGGTTTCAAGCTTAATAAAACGAACGTACCACTCTTTTGACTGTTACCTTTGTTTTCTTCTTTTCTAAAGACGTTGCCAGGAAATTAATACTCTATACAGCTGAGTTGAATGTATCTTTAAAACTTAAAGTACTCATAAGACAAAATTCTTAAACAAAGGTATGGTTTATACGGCAGTTTCCTGATGCAAAACTGGTATTAAACAATGAATAAAATAACATTCTAAACTTATAATTAAACAGTATGTATTGTGACGAATATTTGCATATAACACACCCCACAAAACACTTAAATAATAATTGTAATTTCTAATATTTTAGGAATGACAAGTTAAAAACTGTTATTAAAATACTGTCAAGCGTCCCTTCTCAGTTTATTTTTACCCTAATTTGATTGTTCTTGATGTGATCTGAAATACAAATGATTTTTCATGCCTACAATTAATGTGTTGATAAGGTCTTAAAATATTCTCGGCCATTTCGCTGAAAGAGGTGTTTCTAAAGCGTATTTTTTGTCTGGAGAAATATGCTCGAAGGGATCGTATGTGGTGAGCGAGCAGGCCACTCCATTCTTTAAGAAATGTGTCGACCACGGTGATCTATTAGACTGAAAGCAGGTCCAATTACACCAGCATATAGTATCACAAAGGTGAGATGTGACCTCTATAATGTCTGATACTAATGGCACTGTAGTACAGGAAGGTACAATGTGCCTTCTACCCCTTTAGTTAAGATGTAAGCTTTCCCAAGTTATTGTGTTTTTCATAGTTTTAAGTTTGAACGCAGAGAGTTGCTAAAATAACATTTTAACTTTCCCTGTTTCGAGAGCATAGAATATGTGATTTAATAAAGGGCAGTTAACCGACATTCTTGCAGGGAAGATAGCATATGGTGATGACATCTAGAAATAGCTATCTTTTCTGTCTCGGAAATAGGATAAGACGCAGGGACACATATACATATGAGGCGCATTTCGTGTTCAAGCCTGGCTTTGTTAGTGCTGTTATATATATATAACCGACACAAAAATGTCTGTTTTGGTTGTGGGTGATGGTCTAAACTGTCTAGGTATCCAAACAGTTGTGCTATTAACTCGAGAACGTTTTATTTATACATTCTGCAAACAACACTTTAAAGTCTGTAATATCATATACACGCAAACACACACACACACACACATATATATATATACGCACGTACATTGCATACATTGGTAAGTGAATCCTTATAGAAATTAAAGAATAAGTTATAAAATCGTCAAGTTTTAGATATTTTTAATTTTGAGATGGCGTTTTGAGCCAGCTCTCTTCGTCAGATCATAAATCTGACTTTCAAAGTTTCTTTTAACTCTACAACAGGATTCCCTAATGTGTGGATCGCGACCTCAGTGGAACTGTGGAAGATTTAAGTTGGGATAGGATTTGTTTGTTTGTAATTAAGAACAAAGCTACACATTGGGCTATCTGTGCTCTGCCCTCCACGGGTATCGACACTCGGATTCTAGTGTTGTAAGTCCGCAGACATACCGCTGTGCCACTGGGGGGCTTGGGATAGGAAGAACTCCGGAAAATGTTTTATTTTTCTGTAAAGTTTTCATAAAAATACAGCAGTATTTTATATCTTATTACATATTAACTAATAAGAATAAATAGATAATATTGTGATAATACCACATTTGAATACATCTGCTAATCGGGAATTCTTGTACTATAACAACACCAAATGAAGGAGGGTAAACGACTGAAAGATATGGAAACAGAACTGACTACGTCTAACAAATCTACAAACCTTCCAATGGCAAACCGGTACGTCTGCAGACTTACAACGTTATAAACCGGGTTTCGATACCCGTGTTGGGCAGAACACAGATAGCTATTGTGTAGCTTTGTGCTTTACTTCAAATAAATTTACAATTTATTAATTCATTATGAGGTTGTATCCTTATCCATTTTGCTAATGAAAAGCTTAATAAACCATTATTATTACTACTACAATTTATTGAATTATCTTTAGGTAGGATCGTGGCGATAGGCGGTACTTCTAGGCAAAGGGTTACGCCACGACTATATTTGAAAATAATTGCTCAAGAAGCAACATTTCTTTGTACTTTTAGAAATATCCGAGCACAACAAACATTCGAAGTTTCTTCTCATATTTATA